GAGGAGCTTTCCTTCTCCTCACAGATTCACAGGCACATAACTAAGATGGTTTGCGTTCTTCCTGACCGGTGTTTCTACATAACTGTTCTCCTGCTCTATCTTTCTTTAAAAAAGATTCCTCCCTTCAGATTCACCCAACAACTCCCCTAGAACATAACCGCCAAGGCCCAATGAAAGGATTTTCCTTTCCAAGCTACGATGCAAGTTTTGCAAGACTCTAAAGGCTATCAGAGTAGACCTAACCTAGACAGGCGTCAACTCAGCTTTTATCTACCTAATTTTGAAACTAATAATAATTCAGCATTGTTTTATACCACAAAGCACTTAATTCCCAAGAAGCAGTCAAAGAAGAGTGTTAACATTTCGGAACCAACAGTTTGCCGAACTACATAAAAAGTTAGCAGGCAAGCCTGACTGCTTATGTGTGAATGGCTTTATGTACTCCAAAGGTTCCATGCACAACCTACGACCAGCACAGCAAAGACTTCGTGATTCTTTCTTCAGCGCTCGCAGTGTTTTCTATTTCAAGGAAGCGTAGTACACCTTTGAACCGGTCAGGTCTGTTTCCATTTCAGAACCAGAAAGCTAAAAACCGAAGGAGTAGTCTGAACTTGTCCACTAAATAGCTTGGACAAGTTCTTTTCCTCTCTGGATCTCTAAATTCCTACTTACAAGATAACGCCTCTACATAGAGATAACAGCTGAAGCCCAGAGACGTCAAGAAGTATTCTAGGGTCACACAGGAAAGTTAGCATAGGATGGTCTAAGATTAGCCCCCAGATTTCCTGATTTTACTTAAATGACCCTGTCTCCTACTCAAGACAGGGATGAAAACAAAGCAAACACACACGCTTACACACACACACACACACACACACACACACACACAGAAGCTTCTGAGTTTTACCCTCACTGTCCTTCTGGCTCTTTTCTGAAGAACTAAATATACCTGGACCGGAAGTCTGACATTGGAAGTGTGATTGTTCATTCTCTGCAATATGGTCCAGGCTGTTAACAGCTACCTTTCTTGCTCAGCATATAGTCTTCTCATCCCATAAAACGCACACATGCGCACACACACTCTCACTTCCAGTATTACAAAAACTTTTCCCTTTCCAACAGCAAAGGGAATTTAGGCCAGAATTGAAATGATTATAATACAAGAACCTTGTTCAAGTGTTAAATGCGACCATAACTCTACCCGAAACCAAATCTGACAAAATGGAATTTGTTCTCACACAGATTTTTTTTTCCCCATACTATATCATTTGTCAAGTAACATTGTCATTTTTCCCACTGCTGCATAATCACATAATGAAAGCCCAAATGTAATTCCCGTACACAAGAGGGCAGACTTACGGTTGATAAGGGCCCTTTCTTTATTTGCATTGCTAATAGTTTCTAAAGAACAGGCAAAATGCTATATGGAGAAGGGTAATGAACAAAAACGATACATTTTTTCCTGTTTTTAATAACAATGTAGGATAATCAACTGATATTCCTGGATCTTATCCAGCAACAATTTTTTGTCGCTATTTGAATCCACAGAGCATGGAGCTAGGGCACGGTCCTCAGCATGGAATCATATTAAATTATTTCCCTTCTAACTCCAAGCTTTCTTCTTCCAGGACACCGCACCTGCCAGCCACACTAACTGCCCACAATTCTCCACACACACTAAGAATTGTCAAGTTCCTTTGCTGTTCTCTTGGCCTGGACTCCCTGAACAAATCTGCACAACAGTACTGAGCTTACAATAATGGATGAGTATCTATCTGCATCTCCTAAAGATCAGAAATTAAATGCAGAACTTCTACTCAGCACAGATCAGGGCAACATCCACATAGTAGACGCTTAATTATTATCTGCAACATTGAAAGGATAGGCCAATCACCGTGGCACAGCTGTTAACATGAAGCTCCATGATGCTGGAGCCACATGGAAGGTCCCAGGTTCACATCCTGAAGTCTCCCTATACATGCTAGGTGTGTGCACACATGCCCGTGATCCTAACTGGCTGGGGTGGGGGGGAGATCATTGCATAAAGTCCCTGTTGACGGTGCCTCTCTTTTACTCTCTGGAAAGAAACTTTAAAAAGTAAAAAAATAATGACAATAAAATGAATGTAATTAAGTCAACTTTACTGGCTGCTGCCTACTAGCCTCCAAGTACCAATGTGACTGACAGAAGCTGAATGCCTCTGAGTAGCAAATACTCCAGATACAGCAGAGAGGCTTCACAGACAACCTGCAGCTTCTGTGAAGTGGCTGCATGCCCAAGTGAGGCAATGGCAGGGTGCTTCGAGCTCTCAGTCCCCTGGGTTCTATACCCCCCCCAACTAAGAATGTTCCCTCCTTTCTGAGACTCTCTGGCCACAAAGACACTCACCTTATTCAGGGACCCAAAGGAAAGCCAGCATCCTTTGTCTCAACTTTTGACTCTATCTCTGCCATTGGCTTCCCTCAAATATTCAAGACATCCTTCATGCCTTAGGAGCACAGCACAGATTCTCTCCAGGGTTAGTTTTCACTAGTTGCTGCTCAGTGGTAAACGTAATGGCATTTTCCTGTTTCGATCCCTTACACATAGGCGTATGTACTTTTAAGAGGAGGATAGGAAAAAACTTTGTTTCATGGTGTTGTTTAAAAGGAGTGTGATTTTTAAAAATGACTGTGAGGGGCGTGCACTCACAAAGCCAAAACGGAAAGTTTGGATGACAAACTACCAGGAAATTTAAAGGTAGCATAGTCTGATGTTCTAAGGGCAGAGTGTACAGGAGGCTCTGTCTAATATACTTGGAAACTGTAACTATCTTTTTCAGAATTTCACATAGCCTTTTGCAATTAACCGGTTCTGAACTGTGCAAATGTCACTGCAGATGGGACCAGGCCCATCACTTAAGCATTTGGAATCAATCCACTTACTCGAGCCACCCTGCACTGGGAACCGAATCTCCTGTCATGAGCTCTAAAGATAAACCAGCCTATTGTATCACCAACCCCTGTGTTAATTTCATCAGTGGTGGAATAGAAAACTAGTCCCCCTAGTGTCCTGCCACTGTAGGTGGTTGAAGGATGGAGACTCTACAGCCAGCACCCCCATATGTTCTGTATCCTCTTGAATTAAAACACAGCTCAAGAATCCTGAACCAAAAGAAACCTTCACAACCTTCCTAGAGAAAGAAGCCCTTCTGGGATCTATGATGAAACCAAAAAATCCTTTCATTTCATTTCTAAGGCCCTTCCAGTTAGGGTTTAAAAGCCAAAGGAATCTGCGTGATCTCAAATCACAAAGTGAAGCCACCACCGCACGCTTCATTAAGTGAAGTAAGAGGGCCCACGTTTGTTAGCGCCAGTACCCACTTCACCCCCATTCCACCGTAATACAATCTGTTCTTTAAAAACCTCTCTATCCTACTGGAGTGTACGTGTCTGTGTGTGTGTGTAGGGGGGGGGTTGATTCCTTTCCTCACCATACTTGAAAACCCACTGGTAGATCTAAATCTTGATGGCTTTTGCCTCTCTGTTCAAGTTAAGTTTTCTGCCTAGGATGGAATTAACAAGGCAGGGCTGGATCAATGTGTGTTCTCCTCAAGCAATTTTCACCAAAGTATTCTTGCAAATTAAAGGTATATTAAGAGATGTATAGACCCCCTAAGGCCAGTGTACTATCCTCCACCTCCCCACTGAAAACCCAGCACACCCATGAAATTCATTCTTATCATTCAGGAAAGAGAAAGGAGAAAAGAACCCACCACTTGTTCCTTTCCTAATTTAGAACCCTCTCCTAAGTCTATCAAAGCTGACTCTAGAGGTGGGAAGACAGGAGAGGTGAGGAGAAAAAAGAAGTTGAGGTGACTGCCCCCATAGAGTGAACAGCACTTTGGGTCCGCACCTGTGTCAGAGAGGAAAGGCATGGCCTTCAAGTCCCACCCCCAGCTCCTTGAAAAAAGCAGGAGCCTGAAAGCTGAGCTCACTCTCTTGGGGCACTTACATAAGACCCTGTAAAACTTCCTGTGACATTCACACAAAATGTAAGCTGCTATTCTGCTCCCTCCGGAGATCATTTTAATGGACTGAGTGACAAAATTCACGGATTCAGAATTCAGCAGAAACCTGCTCAACCGAGGTACATCAGCACAGGGAAGAAAAAAAAAATCCATCCCCATTAAACAGGGTCACCCGGGGGATGGATTCAGCGTGCAAGTGACAATCTGTTCCCTCCAAAGTGACCCATTTAAAATCCAATTGTTCCGGAGGAAGCTCACAGGTTTAATAAATTTTAGACGGCAAGGACAAGCTTGCACAACTGATTCCTCAGGAGTGACATTTTTAAAAGAATGTAATAAAGCAATTAACAAAATAGGTTGAGGATGCACAAACTTTACAGCTGTCACGCCAACCTTCGGAAGCAGAGACATGTATAAGAATATCTAGATCGCTATCCATTGATCAATTACTACAAGCAGCTCTGTCTAATAAAGCGTACATATTAATTGTTCCGCCCTACAGATATCGCCGCCGACCAACGACTCTGTCTTAAGAGATACTTACTTACAAGTTATGGCCGCTAACCCCCAATCAGCCTCGACTCTGCAACGCGGAGCAAGGAAAAGTTCTTCACAACGTCACACCAGCAAAGCAAGAGAGGACCTCCCTAAACTGAGAGCTCACAGCTAACAGAGGTGCTGGGGCGGGATGTGAGCACGTCACCTGGCATTAAGGAGCAACTCCTCCTTGCCCACACTCTCTGTCTACTGCCTGCGTGCCTACGCGCGGGGCAATCTTTGAGACGACCCGGTCCTGAGGACGTCGGAGACTCGGGCTTCCCCTCCAGCCTCTCCAGGACTCCCAGCACAGGCAGCAGAGGGTGTGCTCACCCTTCCTCCCACTCCGTCGGCCTCCTGAGTACAGCGAGTGCCAGCCACAGGTTTGGAGAACTTGTCCCGCGCAGCTCACCAAGGCGCCCCCGTGGTGACTCTCGAACTCCAGAGCCCTTACCTTAGCCGTGACTGCTGCCAAGCAGAGGAAAAACGCCGAAGAGCTGGGTGGCGTGGCGACGCCGCCGCCTACAAGGCGCGAGAGGTCCAGGTCAGGTCCTGGCAAGCACTCCCCTTAGTCCGAGCGGCGAAGCCAAGCGCAGACTTAGGGCGGCCCCCGGCTCCAAATGCCGCGGGGAGGGTCCGGATTGCCCAAGCTGAGCACTGTCCCTTCTTCCTCTCCCTTCTGGGCGGCCACTTGGAGCTGCTCTCTGCCGCGAGGACTCTTCCGAGCCGGGGGCGCCCCGCATGGGCAGGAGCCTGGGACCGCTTTGCGTTGGGTCCGGGGAGCTTGCGCTGGGGAGAGATGCTGGGCGGCCGCCGGGGCCGGCTCCACCTCCAGCGCTTCCCACCGCTTCGCTCCTTCAGGGCAGGGCCTGGCCACAACCGGCCAGGCGAGGAAAGCGCGGCCGCGCCCCCAGCTTCGGACGCCGGGGCTCCAGCGCGGCAGCGGGGTAAGAGCACCCGGCCCGGCAGGCGCCGAGCAGGACGGCGTGGAGGGGGGGCGGGCTGCAGC